ATGGAAGTGGTGCAACTGAAGTAGCAGGCGCGGCTGTGTCGATGAGAGATGAAGGCGTCGGAATAGGGTTTGACATAAGAGGGCAAGACGTAACCTTGCCCGATGCAGTGAGACCAGTCGCAACGTATCCAGAAGTTTGAGGCGCTGTGTTGGTCAGAGATGGCAAGATCACTACTGTTCCGCTAGCTTCGGCGCTGGTGACGACGTTGCCAACCTGGGAATTATCCAATACTGGTGCCGATGTTTGCTGTGATCCCTTTGTGGCCCTGACTGTTACGGTAACGTTCGCCGTCTCTGTCAGGCAAGCTATATCACGACTATCGAGGAGTAAAGCCCGGACGTTCAATTGGCCAAGAGACACCGAATCTGGGTGCGTATCGTGAAGGCGAACGTGTTGCTGGTGAAATAGGGCGAGTGCGTTCTCGCAGAGGAGGACCTGTATCAAAGTTAGCCTGAGGATCCCCATTTTCTTATGAAAACCCGCCATTGCGGGGGAGGCAATGATCTTATCGTGTTGGTATGAGGTTGTAGAGGATGTTCAAGCCTGTTTCTGGCTTTTGGGGGTACGTTAGGTAGCGCGTGGCAGGGAGAGAAGTTCCTCAATTCTGCATGAGGTAGTATAGGAGCGGTGCCCCAACTTCATATAAACAGGTGCCATGGTGAAAGCAGCCACACATCAACAATGGACAGTCCTCGGCGAACCGATAGTTGTAAGCCCACGAGTGGGATTGCCGCAGTCCAGAACGTTAAGATTTGCAGCGTTACCGCGCAACGTATGGGCGAAGACTGTGAAAGGAATGTACGGGTTCCAGAAACAATGGATAGGTCTCACCTGGTTAGGAATGCAGAGCGGCTTGCCGGGGAACTCGGTCTAGGTACAGAGCGATGAGAGCCGGGTGATGAGGTAGAATGAGATGCTAGGCACTGAGGAATCGCGATCAGTCAAGACAGTCAGGCGTCGGTGGTGGCCGTGTCTTGATGGCAGCAGAGGCTTTTGAGTCTTTGGCCAAGAGCTGATGAAGCGACGATGATGTTGTGGCTGGCAACAGCGGCACTGGCAATGGTCTGACGACTGCGTTGGGTGACAAGACGCGATGCAGCCGCAAAAAGACCAGCAAGTAAGATAAAGACAAGGTAGGTATGTGTACTGGTTCAACTAGGCGGTCTTGAGTCTTTTTCTGGCAAGCGCAATTGGAGAGAGATGTTGCGATGGGGAGTTTCGACTCATGAGGTTAAGTACGCACGATTAATGCAGCACCCAAACGAAACGACCCTCTTTGGCTGACGCGTGCCTGCCCTTGGCGTGGAGACTCTTCGGCATCCAAGCTGCCGCTTGACAGTCCGAGAAGGGAGGGGAAATCAGCCAATATTGGCAAAAATGACCGGTGCAATTGACAGAGCAACAGGTCACTTGGCCTCGAATACGATGGTATGCACGTATAATTGAGACCCGTTGGGCAAGGAGAATGTCTTCCATCTCCAGGGACCAAAGCCATGGAGGGGCATCTCGTCGTCCCTCTCTTTGCCTTTAGCGAGACACTCGGGCCAGTGACGTAAGAGTAATGGCATCGCTGACTTTTGAGCACCTGGATCGGGGTGGTAACTGCAACTACAGGCCATTGCTGCGAGAGCAGATGTTGAGCTGAGGTTGACGACTGTGGTCAGAAGATGCCGTTTGCTGACACATTGGAGACGAGAGGTTGCTTCTTCTCGGTGTAACCAGCTCCTTCTGCCTGTCACCAGGCAATATCATCTTGGGGGAATCCTTGGCGCCATCTTGGCGAATGTCAGTGACCACACTTGGCTTGCTGTTGTGAACTGGAACATGTGCAGATGAACTGTACAATTCGATGAAGGTAGCGTCAGGCGAAAGATGGTGTCGGAAGTGTAGTCTGCATCATATAATGGATAGTAACAGTAGTCAATTGAATTCTCAGAGCCAATCGCGGGTATCGAAAGCAAGTCTACTCCTAAGCGCCCCAAGCGCCTATAATGAACCGTATATCAGAAACCAAGAGAATGTTGCTTCCCTTGCATAGTCTCATCTTTTCTTCTCTAGGCTGTTAGCCCCAGACCTGCCCACCTTGTAAATGCGATACCGATCTTCCACGGCCTCAGCAGCAGCGGTGTCAATAGCCGTAGCATCTGGCCTAATAACCGGCCGATTGTCTCCTCCTTTCTTGATCTTGTAGGCTGTATAAGGGTCTTCCGCGGCCGGAACCGGGGCCGGCCTTGTGATGCGTTGTGGCTGCTGTTCTTGGGTTGAGTGCCCCCGCTTCAGACTGTAGGCTCGGAAACGGTCGTCCACGGCCGGCGCAACCGTAGCCTCAGCCGGTACCGCCGGGATGACTTGGCCAGCATGCGCAATCGGGCGCGATCCGTCTCCTTTCCTCAACTTGTAGGCACGGTATTGGTCCTCCACGACAGGTGCAGACGCAGCTGTAGTTGTAACTGCCGTCAAGGCCTGGCTGGTCTGTACCATCGGCCGCGATGCGACTCCCTTCTTCAACTTGTATGCATGGTACCGGTTTTCCTGCGCAGCCGCCGCCTCGGCAGCCTCAGTCTTGCGCCGCATCTCCTCTTCCTCCTTCTTCCTCTCCTCGCGCCTCCTCTCCCTCTTGCGCTTCCTCTCCTCGCTCTCGGCATCCCTCATCCCTTCCTTCTTACACTTCCGAATCTGCCTCTCACCAAGCACCCACGGCGGCTGAAGCACCTCGTTCCGAAACCGCGTGCGCTTCTCCCACAGCGCCACTTCTTCCTCCGTGGACCGCAGGATCTTGACCTTTTCAATCTTGATCTGCATCTCCTCGCGGAACATAGTCAGCCCTCCCTTGATGTCGATGACGGTGCCGACATCTACGTCGACACAGTCGGCAGGAGGCTGCGGCTGCGGTCGTTTGGTGAACCACCCGTTGGCTTCGACGTTTTTGTCGGCCGGCGGTGTCTTTGTCGCGACTGTGCATTCGATGCAGGCCCCGCTGCTGTCGTCAACCGTGTAGATGCGCCGGCCCGGGAAGTCGTCCACGGCCACGACAATGCCGACGATGCGTGCCCATTTGATAGGCAGATTCTTGTAGAAGTAGAAGTTTTGAACTGCAAAATGCATTCACTCGTCAGCCTGTGGGGCCACAGATACTGCGCGCATGGTTGCGGCAAGTTTACCTTCATATTCAGGCACGGTTTTCAGGGCGTGGACGTCGGATGCCTGCATGAGGCACCATGTGTTGAAGGTTGGGGAGAGTTGCAGGCAGTACTGCGGATAGAGGCCGCCTATTGATACATCGCTCGTCATGGCATTGTTGGTTAAGGATCACTTGGGCATCCTCGACCCAGACCAGACCGTGAAATGTCGTGATAGTCAGCTGCAGGTCACCTCGGATGGGAGCAGTCGGCCGTTCTGAGGCTCCGAAAAGCGCGTCGCGTTAGAAACATGTAGGTATGTGATACTGGAAGATTCCGTTCTTGGGGGAAAAGTAAACTTTGGTGGTTGACCTGGGGACGTTTTAGCGACTGCAGTGCTGAGTGCCCCGCATTGTGGCGCTATTGCTGCCTACCAACTAAGGTACCTTGGTGACATGAGCCAAATAGTGCTACCGTCAAAGTAAAGCATTATCACCTCCCGGAAAGTTGGAAGTCATCGAACATGATCGTGAGAACGTGAAAAAGTCTCCTTTGAAGTTCAGAAATATTTATTTCATTCATCCGATTGAATCCCATACCAAGATTCCGTATCCTTGCCGATTAACCCCAAGCCTTAGACGCCGATCCAGAAACACCATGTTTTACCGCTTCGATCTTCTTCCCGCTTTGGCAGATTTGCTTTCATCCGCCTTTGGCTTCTTCAGCCGTGCAGCTGCAGCCTGAAAAGCTTCTTCTGACGGCTCTTCCTCCTCCACAACCCTCTTCTTGCCCTTCTTAGGCTGGCTGGTGGCTCCATACTTGGCAGCGAGATCGTCCAGAAACCCGGCACGTTTTTGCTGGTTGCCCTTGATGAGCGCGGCCAAATCGGCCTCTCCGCTATCCTTGCCCTTCTTCTTCCCCTTGCCCTTCTTGTCGCCAAAGAGCTTATCGTGAACTCCAAGCTCTTTGGCGTACTCCTCGGCCTCGTCCGCCTCGCCCTTTGCTGCCTTGACGCGAGCCGCTTTTGACAGCTTGCTCTCCTTTGTGTACCGCTTGTATGCCTGGACATCTTCGCTGGCAATAGCTTGGTCGATGATCTGGCGGAACCGTTCGTCGTCCTCGAGCACGTCGCTCAGCATGACCGATTCGTAGATCCCGTCCATGTCGCCCTTGGAGTTTTCGTAGGCGATCAAGACGTCGTCCTTCTCCTCATCGGAGCCCTTGTACTTCTTGGCAAACTTTTCGATGGCTTCTGCAGAGATCGCATCCTGGAATTGCTCGCGGTAGTAGTCGGACCAGTTGAAGCCTTCCGAGTCGATAATGGACTCGGACGTCGAGCCGGTTGTGTCGTATCGCTTGCGTCGTGCCGGGTCAGAGAGAATGGCGTACGCGAAAGCGATGGCCTGGAACTTTTCCTTCGCCTCATCTCTTTGGTCATCGGAGACCTTGTCTATGCGAGAAGTAATGTTAATCATGTCCCACGATGACCTTTGGCCGGCTCCCTCTTACCTGGGTGGTTCTTGAGTGCTGCTTTCCGGTATGCGGACTTGACCTGGTCCGGTGTAGCCTCGCGTTCGAGTCCCAAAATCTCATAGGGATCGATTTCAGGGGGACTGTCGTCAACGAGTTCGTCTGGGGATGACATTGTGAAGGCTGTGGAGACGTAAATGTTGGGTTGATGATAGACAGAAAGCTCTCAGAGCTCTGCGACGCGCTCAAGCTCGTGAAGACGCGCCTGCTAAAGTGGTGGGGCGCATGCGTTCAAGCACCCGGTCGATTACCTAGTGGTCCGTGCGTCAAGCAAGTCGGCGAACCGGGGCTTGCGGCACCGATGCGCTGAGCTGAGGCAAGAGCTTCATTCCCTGCCCCTCTGCCCCTCCCACGATGACTGGCTCACGGATGAAAGCTACTTTTTGTAACTATTCAATCTCATGTTAGAGTCCATTCCAGCTCAATTCGTCTTGCATTGGAAACTCGTCCCAAATCATTCGGTAATTCCAGATTTTCTCACTTCTCACATCGCATCCAAAATAAGCGGGACAACTTGCGGCGAAGATATTGAAAATGGCATCAGAGATTGAGGACATTCAGCCAGCACCGATAGCGCCAGGTGATCACGCGGGGTACCTCCAATATGCGCTCTCGCTGGCAAAGCAGTCACCACCGAAGCCAACAAATTACAGAGTGGGAGCGGCCCTCGTCAACCCCGCCACCAATACAGTCGTCTCGACGGGTTACACGTTGGAGCTGCCAGGTAACACGCACGCCGAGCAATGCTGCTTTATGAAGCTGGCCCAACAGCACGACGTTACCGAAGAGGAGCTGGGCTCCGTCATCAAGACGCCTCTGGTACTCTACACAACCATGGAACCGTGTTCGACGAGGCTCAGCGGCAACCTGCCCTGTACCAAGAGGATCCTGCAACTGCGGTCTTTCATCAAGACCGTCTACGTTGGTGTTCAGGAGCCGGAAAAGTTCGTCAAGGATAATACCGGACGGAGCGCGCTCGAAAGGGCGGGTGTCGATTTCGTGCACATTAAGGGGCTCGAAGGCGAAATTCTCAAGGTGGCTACGGCGGGCCACGTCAAGCCTGCCCAATAGCGACGGGCTGAGATCAATGATGATTTGGTTGCGTGTTTGCTTGATGCTTCCATATCGCCGGTGGGCTGCCGCCAATGCTGGCGTATGCGGTGGTCCGCTGTCATGCAAGGGTGCGCAACGTGGGGTGACGACAAACTGCCTTTCACAAGTTGTTTCTAACTGCGTTTACAACGAGGGCGTTTGCGGTGTTGAGAGGAAAATAGGGAGAGGGCATCATTGCAAAATCCAAACGCTTTGCAGTGATCCTCCAAGCTGCATACTTTACTCTTGTGCCTCCTCATGTTGAGGTCGTGTAACGCTCTACGCTTTCGCTGACTGAGCTCAATTACTTGAGGCGTTGGTAGTTGTGGTCATTGGGCACCTACCTACCCATCTACCTAGGCACACCAGGTAGCTTCAAACATCTTGATGTATGCACTTAACCTGCGGTGGATCTCCAACGTAGTTAATCGGGCCCGGTAACCGCTGCAAGGTCCTTTCTCAGCCGCTCCCATCCCAAACACTGGCCTGCAATGATGCCCTCCTTCGATAGCGATAGTATGTTATCCTAGCTGGAAAACCATGGGCTTTGTGTTAGGACAACGCCTGCAATAACACGCTTTCTTGGGTTGATAGCACAAGGCTTCCGCCGGAAGCATGGCAAGGGCCATAGCAGAGCGAAAGGCTTGATGACATGGACAATCAGCAGCCACATCTCCGCCTTCCCGGTGTTTCTGGTCCGGCCAGTCGTCGATTGCGAACCAAATGGTTGCACCCCTCACTCTGGTAGGCACTCCATTTGCTTTTGCTTCCCTGCTGTGCAGATACACACCGCTCCTGTTTGCTTTTTACGTTGGCTTGACCTCGCCCGCAGTCTTGGGCTTGACTGCATCCTCAACGACGTTCAGAACAGCAAAACACACGCATCTATTGGTAGGCAAGCATCGGCAAAGTAAGAAAAGAGTTGCGTCCATTCCGCCAGGCATTGTGTCTTTACATCCTGAGATAGTCATGGCCGTGGGTTGAGACGAGGTTGGTCTGTACTGGTCCGCTTAGTCATGAGCCATACTACGTACACCTGGCAGGCAGTCTATCGACTGGTGCGGGTGTGCTTTTGCAACCATCTCGTGTGTACTTGAAGCTGATGAAACGCATTCAACCAATCGGGAGTGCCCCTGGTTATCCTGGGTTTGTGCATACACCGGTAGTATGCCAGGGCGTTGGCTGAGCCACATGGGAAGCAATGAGAGGAAGACAGCTGGTTGCGGGCTTCAAGCAGACGTTGGTGCTTGGGCAAAGGAGGCCATCCTCCCCCGCCATTTTTACACTTTGATGCTGCGTCGCACATAGTACTTTTATCATACCTAGGTAGTAGTTCAAGTTCTTTGATAGGTTGATAGACACCAATAATAGGTCCCAATGACGGTTTCCAACGATTGCATTACGTCCCTGTGCAAACTCCAGCTTGGGCATTGTCAGTTGGGTTTGCCTCAGACAAATCATCCATATTAATCTGCAGTAGCTCTCACAACAGTGGGAAGCTACGAAACTGCCTGCCACCCTGATTGTGCCTCTTCTTGCACCACAGTGACCTTCACCTTAGGCAGTAGCTCTTTCGAAGCTACCCCAGAATCCCAAGTACCGTTGTGAAGGAGCAGGAAGGACCCTTTTTTGACTTTCTCTGGTGCTGTGCCCCACTTCAGACACACAAGGATACCCGCCGCCTTCTAACCAGGACCGAGATCCACTACCTACCTACCCTCACCCATCCCATCCCATCTTTCACTCAGGACTAATGCGACACCTTCGACCCAATATCATCAGCTGAGTAGCTTTTGATACCTTGATTTTTTGTTTTACCTTTGACGGCCTCCCGCGTCGGTTGCCTTCAGTACTTTCATCGTTTGTCACACATCTTCCGCTTTGCATTAATTCGCCTTTGGCCAAATCATTGCACATTCTCGTTTGGCATGCCACTCGCTGGCCGATGCCAAATGTGCTTTTTTCCCTGAAAGCATACTTGACCTGGGCCCTTCCGCCTGTACACATTGACGACGCAGGGCACATAAGTAACCCAAGGAATATCCGAATACAGTCTCGTTCAGTAAGTAACGCTCCCACAGTTCGTGCCACCTCAATTGAACTTGTAACTGATCTGTCATCTAGCTTCAGCTTTACTGAACATCCCTTCACCTATTCAATGGCTGACTCTGGACGTGGTGGCCGGGGCGGTGGCCGTGGCGGCCGGGGAGGAGATCGTGGGGGCCGTGGTGGAGATCGTGGTGGTCGCGGTGGAGGAGGACGTGGAGGCGGTGACTTCCAACCCCGAGGTGGCGGCGATGGCGGCGGCTTCCGTGGTGACCGAGGCGGCGGACGTGGCGGCTTTAGAGGAGACCGCGGCGGCCGTGGTGGCGGTCCTGGAGGTGATCGTGGTGGCCGTGGTGGTGGCTTCCGAGGTGACCGTGGTGGTGGTGGCTTTCGAGGTGATCGGGGTGGTGGTGGCTTCCGGGGTGATCGGGGAGGACGAGGCGGCTCGGACCGCGGTGGACGAGGTGGTTACGGCGGCTTCAGAGATCCATTCGAGAATGAGTCTCAATTCTTCGGGTACGTTCAAGATCACAGCCATCGCTACAGTTCGGCTAACTCTCAGCAGTCAGAACAAGCCAATTCCCCAACCCGATCGCGGCACAACCGAGCTCGAGAATCGCATCGTCAAGGATCACCAGTCTAAGGACGCCGACCTCTTCAAGAAGATGAGCTCGATGACGCTCACTGAAGCGAACGCGGGCGCACTCATGCCCCGTCGCCCTGCCTACGGCACCAAAGGCAAAAAGGTCATCCTGTGGGCCAACTACTTCCACCTCACCGTCAACCCTGACGCCGTTTGGCGGTACAACCTTGAAGTCCGCAAGGGCGAAGCTCAGGAGAAGGAGTCTACGCCCAAGGGCAAGGGCAAGGGAAAGGAGAAGGCCCAGCCTGGAGGTGGTGGCAGCAGTAGCGGCGGTGGCGGCAGCGATGGCCCTCCATCTTCCATCCCGGCTCGCAAGTTGAAGATCATTCTGCAAGCTGCTCTCGAAGAGTTGAAGAACCTTGAGCCAAACGCCATTCTCGCCACCGAGTTCAAAAGCCAGCTCATCTCTCTGAAGAAGCTCAAGCTGGCCGTCAACCCCATCAAGGTCATCTTCAGGCAGGAGAATTCCGACAGGTCGGAGAGCTACCTAGTGAAGGTCGTTGGCGAAACAGCAGCTCCGTTGAAGGAAATGAAGGAGTATCTTCAGACCATGGTCGACAAGAGCGACCCGCAAGAAGCCAACTTTCCTAGGTTTGCAGCCTCTGTTGACGCTCTCGGTGTCATTCTCGGCTACACTGCCCGTAAGAACGACCAGGTCACTGCTATTGGCAAGGGCCGGTTCTTTCCTTGGGGTCAAGGATCTACCAGTCACCAGCTTGGTTATCAGGATCCTCTCACAGCTATTAGAGGGTACTTCCAGAGCGTGAAACTGGGAACAGGATCAATGCTCTTGAACGTCAACGTCACCCATGGTGTCTTCAAGATGCCCGTCAGTATTCGCGACCTTTGTCTTTGGTCTCAGGTCGATGTCTTCCAAAGGAGCCCTGCTGATGCTACACGGAACATCATCAGACTTCGCACCTTGTCCAAGTTTCTGGCTCGCACTCGCGTCGAGATCAAGTTCAAGGATGCAAAGGGCCAAGAGATCACCCGTAAGAAGACGATCCTCGGCCTTGCATACAGGGGAGACCTCAGAAGCAACGATGCTAAAATTGCGGATCCATGGCACTACGGTGGCCCTCGCCAGGTGTCCTTCAGGATGGAACCAGCAGACGGTCAAAAGACTGTGATGAACAACAGACCGCCAGGCATGTACACAGTCGAGCAATATTGGACTTGGAAGTACGGCACAGCTCCCGATCTCTCCCTACCCCTCGTCAACCTTGGAACCCGCGAAAAGCCGACATTCTTCCCCGCTGAGCAGTGCACCATCATTGCCGGCCAAGCTGTTCGCGCAAAGCTCAACGGCCAGGAGACGACAGAGATGCTCAACTTTGCTTGTCGATCCCCCTTCAGCAACGCCGTCTCCCTCACTTTCGACAGCTGCAAAGCTTTGGGCCTCGACAGCGAGGTTGTCAAGGACTTTGGCCTCAAGGTGGACAAGAATCTCTTGACCGTCCACGGCCGCGAGCTGATTGCGCCTAACATCGCGTATGCGAACAGGAACGTCACCACTTCAAAGGGCTCGTGGAACATGGTTGAAGTCAAGTTTGCCAAGCCGGGACCCAACATTGGTAAGTGGACGTGGGTGCGCATCAAAGACCGCTACTCGAGGAACCAGTTCAGTGACGTGCGTCGCATCGTCGGCAACTTCGTTGAGTTCCTCAAGATAAGCGGCATGAGCATCTCGGCGGAACCTCTTCCGCTTGAAGACCGTCAGCGCGAGATTGACGACAATCTGGGCACAATCGAAAGTTACTTCGCGTATATAGACCAGCGCCTTCAGCAACAGACCAAGGGTGTCTTCGTCCTCGTCGTCCTTCCTAGGCAGGATACCGCATTGTACGGCAAAGTCAAGAAGCTTGCAGACACAAAATTCGGCTTCCACTCAGTGTGCGTTGTGGAGAAAACCTTCATGAAGGACAACAAGCAGACCTACGCCAATGTCGGCCTCAAATGGAATCTGAAGAATGGTGGTGTCAACCACATCGTCAAGGATCCTATTGACATTGTCAACCAGGGGAAGACAATGATCGTTGGCTACGACGTCACTCACCCGACCAACATGCCAAATGACAAGAATTTCGCACCCAGTCTGGTCGGCTTGGTCGCCAGCGTTGACAAGGACATGGGTCAATGGCCGGGCGTCGCTTGGGAACAGGACAGTCGCCAGGAAATGCTTGGTAACGAGCTGGTCACCCATTTCAAGCGTCGCCTCGAGCTCTGGAGAGCGCACAACAAGGGCAACCTCCCGGAATTCATCGTCATCTACCGTGATGGCGTGTCTGAGGGTCAGTTCACGCAAGTTCTCGATATTGAGCTGCCCATGATCCGTCAAGCGTGTACCGCGATGTACGGTAACCGCAGGCCCAAAATCTCGATCATCGTGTCTGTCAAGCGCCACCAGACTCGATTCTATCCGACCTCGGAAGCTGACATGGATCCCAAGTCGCGCAACATCAAGAACGGCACGGTTGTCGATCGTGGAATCACTCAAGCGCGTTACTGGGATTTCTTCCTTACAGCTCACACTGCCTTGAAGGGCACAGCCCGTCCGGCTCACTACACGGTGCTCTTGGACGAGATTTTCCGCGATAAGTATGGTGTCGGCGACAGAGCGGCGGATAATCTGGAGAAGCTCACCCACGACCTCTGCTACTCGTTCGGCCGAGCGACCAAGGCCGTCAGCATCTGCCCCCCGGCCTACTACGCAGACATTGTGTGCGAGAGAGCTCGTGTCCACCGGCCTGAGCACTTTGACGCGTCGGAAGCGTCGGAGACTGGCAGTACCGTTGGCGCTCCGTCGACTTCGAGTGTCAGCGTGCACGAGAACTTGAAGGACACCATGTACTACATATGAGTCTCGGCGTACTGGAAGCGATTGCATCAGACAGCGGGCAACATGGAGAGCAGGGCTTGTTGACAGGATTGGGAAACAGACGCTCTGCAGCAGGCGTGTTTAGAATAGACTTGAGAGATAATTACAGCGGGTATTCGCGTAGAAGATATCATCCTCGTGGAAACAGGTCCTTCTTGCGTGACCAGTGCTTTCCGGCTCAGTTGAGCCGAGTTGCTGTCTTGTTCCGACTAGTCGCCCGGTGGTGTTCGGGTCCGGAGCGGCCTTGAGTAAGACGGGGAATCGGCCTGTTGTGCTATTGGCTTCATGTTGACGTCAGTGGGGATCTGGTGAGGGGCAGCTCTCTCGTGGCGGGGTAAGCTATTTGCTCGGACAAGGAGCTGCGACAAGACAGACGGAGCCCAGCTCGACAGTGACAAATCGTCATGCACTTTTTTTCCAACTGTTATATCCGAAAAGGCTCCATCTGATGCAGCTTCGATCCCCGAAATAATTGTCAAGATTCCCCCCGCTCCAAAACTTCCTGAAAGCAACCATTGCATGAACCAACCTTGCTGCTTCTATGAACGCCCTCCGAGCCTTGCAGAGAATTAAGCTTATCCAGAATACACTTACAACGAAACCTATCGGTGAGTTTTCTGTCATGGCTTGGCGCTTCCAAGCTTCCACATTCCTTGCCTTGTTGCCAGAATACAATGTAGCTGATTGCGGCTTGTGCTTTAGGACGAATCAGTCAATTCGCGACCATGGCTGCCACGACGGATGTCAAGAACTACAAGTTCAACCACTCGAGTAAGTTGGTTCATAAGCGATTCAGGGATATTTGCTAACGAATCTCAGTGATCCGAGTGAAGGACCCCAAGGCTTCGGGTACGCATCAAACATGACCACTCATCCTCCAGCACCCCTATTGACACCCCAGCCTCACAGTCAAGTTCTACGAGACCCTCGGCATGAAAGTCATCAAGCAGATCCAGCAGCCCGAGGCCAAGTTCGACCTCTACTTCTTGGCCTACGACTCGCCCAACGCGCGGTCCGCCGGCAGCGGCACGTTCGACCGCGAGGGCATCATCGAGCTGACGCACAACTACGGCACCGAGAACGACCCGGAGTACAAGATCAACAACGGCAACACGGAGCCGCACCGCGGGTTCGGGCACACGTGCATCAGCGTCGACAACATCCAGGCGGCGTGCCAGCGCCTCGAGGACGCCGGGTACGCGTTCAAGAAGAAGCTGACGGACGGCAAGATGCGGCACATTGCGTTCGTGTTGGATCCCGATCAGTACTGGGTTGAGATTATCGGCCAGAAGCCGATTGAGCAGACGGAGAGCATTACGACTACGGATGTGACCACCTACAGAATGGTAAGACTTACTGTTCTATTGGGCTCCGATAGATTTGATGCAAGGAACGCTGACAAATTGGGATGTAGAACCACACGATGCTCCGCGTCAAGGACTACGAAAAGTCGCTCAAGTTCTACCAGGACGTCCTGGGCATGACGCTGATCCGCAAGAACGAGGCCAGCGACTTCACCCTCTTCTTCCTGGCCTACGGCGACCTCAAGGAGGGCGAGAGCCAGGCGCAGCGCGAGGGTATCCTCGAGCTGACCTGGAACCACGGCACCGAGAAGGACGAGAGCTTCAGCTACCACAACGGCAATGATCAGCCCCAGGGCTTTGGACACATTTGTGAGTTTTGCAGTCTACGCGGTTGAAGCAACCGAGTGATGCTGCATGAAGAGGGCTAATGAGAGGATAGGCGTCACGGTCGACAACATTGATGCAGCGTGCGCGCGTTTCGAGGAGTTGAAGTGTAACTGGAAGAAGCGCCTCACTGACGGCCGCATGAAGAACGTTGCGTTCTTGTTGGACCCTGATAACTACTGGGTTGAGGTTGTCCAGAATGAGAAGTTTGCTGGCAAGGCCAACTTCTAAGCGCTCATTTTGGAAGACCACCTTTCAAGGAAAAGGAACATTATGAGCGGCATGAGATGAGATGAGAGGGAGTAATTGGGGAACGGCGTTTGGTGAGAGGCGGCAGTTGGGCGGGTTGAGTGAAATGAGTATGAGGCGTCTAAAAAGTTGGTGGAGTTGCCTCCGAAGTCTTCGAGTTCATCTCGGGCGGGTGTTTGGTGAGGTGTCGATAGTAGCCTCAAGTATGGCATGTGAGGCTTCGTCAAAGAACAAAATCAATTCAAATAATCACGGTATTTCAAGTGTCAAAAGCTTATAGTGATTCCAAACTGCATGAGTGGCTGATGCTGATGTGAGGATTCCAAAAGTTGACACGGTGGATCCTCGGATAACGGGCACGTCGTGGAATCCTCTGCCGTGATTCCATCATGATTCCACGCTGTGGCGCTTGCAGTGCCGCCCGCTGTGGCGGGAGCTCTGTCCAAGCCCGGACCCCCGGGAGACCGCACTGCAGAACCACCCCGCCAAAAGTCGTTGACGCAACAGGTCGCCCTCAGCTTCTCACTGGCCAGAGCTGCGCTGCAAGTACAAATCATTGGACAGGGCTCCGATTTGTCACTCTTCGCCCTCCACTGCCTCTCTTCACCCCTCGTCCTGTAACATCTTCAGACGATATTCTTATATAAACCTCCCTTCAACCTCAACCTCATCTATCAAGTTCCACAACAATCTCAAGCTCACCAACTCATAAGACTGGTGAGATACAACACCTCGCGATCTAGAAAGAATTGCCCAATGCGATTCTCACCTTTCCTCTCAACCCTCGTCTACACCTTTTCCAACTTTTCCCGCGTCCGCGCCGCGCAGTCCCTGGGCACCCAGGCGCCTCTCGCAGCGAACCGCCAGCTCCGCGCTTCCATGCCCTCGATCCCGTTCCTGGGCGCTTTATTTGGGTCTTCCGCTTCGCAGCAGGATAAGATGTCGTATCCCGATAAGAGGTCTGACGATGAATGGCGGGCTGTTCTGAACAAGGGTGTGTATGCCCCATTCTCACTTCATCTCACACGCGGCGTCTCTCATATGAAAACATGAATTTGTATGAGACGAGCGGTGTTCGTAGATTGCGGGAAACATGAAATAAACGAAGCTGACATCTCATAAGAGCAATTCCGCATCCTCCGCGAAAAGGGCACCGAACCCCCCGGCTCCGGCAAATTCGACAAGCACTACCCCTCCGAGGGCGTCTACGCCTGCGCCGGCTGCGAAGCGCCCCTCTACAAGGCCACGCACAAGTTCAAGTCAGGCTGCGGCTGGCCGGCCTACTTTGACTCGCTGCCGGGCGCCGTCGTCCGCCACGAGGACCGCATGTTCGGCATGACGCGCACCGAGATCGTGTGCGCCAACTGCGGCGGGCACCTGGGTCACGTCTTTAAGGGGGAGGGGTTCGATACGCCGACGGACGAGAGGCACTGTGTTAATAGTGTGAGTTTGACGTTTGCGCCGGAGGAGAAGAAGGGCGGGGAGGGGAGTGCTGAGGGGCAGAAGGGGGAGAGCAAGGTTTAAGGGGGCTGTGAGCCTTTGGAGTTCTGGAGAGGTGTGTGGAGCGTCGATATACCGAGACTTATAAAGGGGAGTAAGGAGTAAGAAAGGCGTTGTTCATCGGGTGGATGACAAGCTTGGTGTGTCGATAGGGCGGTATTGAAGAATCTACGTGTTCAAGTGGAATGTCACGAATTTCGCATGGACGTTACTAGAGTACGGTTGACTATGATCTCGAAACGTGATATTCTTGTTGGGACAGTAGACGTAGAGACACAGGGGATTATCAAGCGTTGGAAGCGAGGTAAGGCTTTTCACAAGGTCTCGCCGTTGGCTTACATCCACGATCCTAGCTTGTACCACCTCAACCTCATAAGTATTTCGACTGCTTGCATATTGAGTAGAAGCTATTACTCAAGGCCTACGAGCTGTGTGTCTTCATCTTCAGTCTTACGAGTTGAGGCTGAGTCTTGGCAATCGAGCACACGAGGCCGGCCCGCATACGCCCATGTTGGAAGTGTAATATTGAAAGCTTCTATTCTGCTGGCCCCAGATTTGTTTCACCCCACGCATGAGTTTAGTGTTTTTCACCACATCGAGGACTAGCTATGCCACGATCAAAATGTGGGTTGTACTGCAGGGAATGGAAACACTGGTCAACAAGGGGATGAATGGAGGACTGCCACATTTTATGTGGCTGATCGTAGCGGCAGTATATCCATCATTATTGGCGGGGTGCCCCGCCAAGTCATGCATGCAGTGATCGCAGTGAGTGTAAAGGAGCACGATGGGGCAGTCAGCCTCGTAAGGCATAGCGAAAGCTCGAATGGTTTCTTTCTTCAAGGTCTCGAGTAAAGGCTTGAAAAAAGACTGGTGAAGCGCGTGTCCGCATCTACTACCTCCGAACCGGGGAAATACACAGCCACCGGTTTGTCGTTGCATTGAGTACTTCTCGAGACAAGCCCGCCGGCGCTCTTGATGTTTCGGAAAGTCGGGCGAGAGTCGGGCATCATTGAGGCATCCAAGTGGGTCAAATATAGTCAAACATGTAAGCCTGTTATCTCTCACGACTAACATGTGTAACACTTGTAATTCATCGACAATTTTCACCCAATGTCCTGGCTAGCACCTCAAAGCGCAAGTCGCACGCTATACGTACAAAGCCGACCAATATCAAACATTTCAAGCCAACCAAATGATCAGATGGCACGAAGAGAGTTGCCCAAAGCTCGACCTGTTCATGTGTGAGGGCTTGCACGGTGGTCTGGACTCAGTACCGACCTGTTCACGCTGTGGAACGGTCGCGCCGCCTCAAGATACCTTGAACGTGCAACCAAACGACGCGCTGCCCATCGCGGCTGCGGCTCTTACGCTCAATCTGAGATGGCCATCTTCAGTCAACTTCAAAGATCACGTACCGGATTCGATCCGAGAACGAGATGCATCTATCAAGCCGAAATCCCCCCAAGAGGAGGTCAAGGGCGAAGCTGACCCAACCAATTTGGAGCAACCAGCTCTATCTAATCCAAGTCTTACATCGGGCGCATTATACCACCGCCTAGGACCCCAGGCGCCTCTAGTCGCCCGCAAATTCCGTCTCCTTCGCCTACACGCCGCGAAGCTCCACAATGCTGCTATTTGGATTGACACCTTCGTCACAAACTTGACTTTGAAGCCGCCTTTTGAGGCTGTGTCATACACATGGGCTGATACAGATGGGGACATCTCTAAATGCGATAGAGTCTATGTCGGAAAGCATTGGGATGTCCTCCCTGTCACGAGGAATTGTGCTAATGCCCTCCGACGTTTAAGGTTCCCAAACCGTTGGCGAGACTTATGGGTTGATGCAATTTGTATCGACCAAGATAACGAGAAAGAGAGATCACATCAGGTTGGCCTTATGCAGTCCATCTATGCAACTGCTGTTAGGGTTCTCGTTTATCTTGGCGAAGATCCTGATGACGACGATGGCATGAATCCAGTCCCGTGGACTGACGGCAAATACGTCCAGCGGACTCTGGCCTCGCCTTCCGCTCTCGCTGAGAACTCATACTTCCGAAGAGTATGGGTGATACAAGAAATAGCAGCTGCCAGAGATGCTTGGGTGCTCTATGGATCAAGAGGAACACACTGGAATGACTTTCTTGAAGTGCCGAGTTCCGAAGCAGACACGAACCACAACAGGGACCTGGCTCTTTCTGATAATCAGCCTGCGACGACAGACAGATTACCTCAATGGCTATACATTTGGACTAAGCCCAGGTGCATGGAACTCGACACGCTTTTAAACGGTCTATACGCTACGGCTCAGTGCAAAGCATCTGATCCGCGAGACAAGGTGTTTGCCCTACTGGGTCTCTTTCATGGTGCCAACAACGCCGCACTGGTTGCGGACTACACCCTGACTCACCAGGAAGTTGTCATCGGTGTCACGGCATATATATTTGTTCACCATACCGAACAGATGTGGCGCATCTTCGCGGCGATAGACCCCAAAGACTCTCAACGCATACCTTCGTGGGTCATGGACTGGTCATCAGAGAAAAAGGTGGAACGCCTAAGGCCATACATGCTCGAGACGAAGCCTATGATTAAAGCCGAGGGCAAACAATCGCAGCATATCAACATCCCGCGCATCTGCCGCGATGGATCTTTGGTACTGAGAGGACACCTGGTCACACAGGCTGCGAGCTGTGCCTTCAACCAGGCAGCACGAGCCGGCCCACCTGGAGTTGTGACAGATATAGTATTTCAGCGATCCAAAGTCTTGCATCTACAAAGTGACTGTCGGCCCATGGTTCCATCGGGGTGGTGCCAGCCTACGGACGAGATCTTTGCTACCCAGAGTCTCTCTGGGTACTGTCTGATACTTCGACCGATCACGATGAACCCAAAAACATTTCGGTTTGTTGCTATCTGCGAGCGCCCCAAATGGGCACCAATGGCATCTACTGTCAACCTCTTAGACCGCAGAGCGATTTTGCTCTTCTCGACGTGGCGTTACATACTCAAGAATGAGTTCGGTGTCAGAGGAATTTGGAATTCCTCCAAGTCGTGGGACATGGTTAGAGACCTATGCCAAACTGTAAAGGAGTTCTGGGCGTTAGAAGAGACCACCAGTCGTTTCTTAGACTCCTCGGTCCAGAGGCAGGCTTCCGTGCAAGTCGGCCAACCACCACATGCAATTTTCCAAACTCAAGAAGCATTGCGAAGACTGGGGGGTTCTGCTCCAGAGTCAATACACCACCAGCAAAAGCAAGTTTTCAATCATTCTATGAAGCTCTCAGAAGATTGCAATAGTTCAGAAATTTGCCCACCTTATGTGGCCGAACTGCAGACTCTTGCCGATAGAGTCTGTTCGATCGAAAAAGTGCAAGAGGCAAACGCAAGAATCGCCGACGCCTACAGCCTGCTTGGGCAAATCCTCCCGAAAAAAGATTATTTGCAAAGGAAATCTACAATAGATGAGAAGACTCACAACGGACGATTCGATCTGCGGGAGAGAGATTTTCTGTCTTGGCATGCATCAGGCCGGTCAGGTGAGGAGTCTCTCGATTGGAACACCTTCGACCAACTGGAACACATTGCAAGGTCGGCTGAACGCGATGTGCCAAAATACCTAGAACTCAACAACGTCGCGTCACAAATCTGGAGCGCCTCCTTTAAAATCAGCATGCGTTTCAACTACGAGATTCTCTACTTTAGACTCTATCGCATACCCATGACTCAACAAAGCTTTCTGCAGGCCCAATGGGATTGGGGAGCACACAAAGATTCACTGGAAACCTATCCGGGGGCTAGACAACTATTGGGTCGCCAACGCTATGTATCCTGGAGTTCAAGCTATTTTGAGGAAGTAGCAGAGAGCTTTCAGGCACATTTACTCGGTCCAACTGCTTCTCAAGAATACTTTCCGGCACCCTGCTACATGCCGTCACCACAAGCATTTGCAACCAAGCTGCTGTGCGAGAGTCTCAGCGAAAAGGTTGTGAGCTTATTTTTGATGTACTGGTCGAAGGATGAAGACAGGGACAAGAAGCCTCGACCACCTGAGGACAAGCGAATGGTGCAATGGCTGATGGACTCCCTGAATCTGGAACCAAACCCTAGCAAGGAAGATCCAGGGTCCCGCGTCCACTCTGTTGAAGACACATGGGCGGCCAACTTCCTTAGAGCATGGGGTGATCTAATGGGGAGACATCTCTCAGGTTCTACCGATGACGCTGAGCCACCTGAGAGGCAAGAAGCATCGGAGAAGGGCTACTTGGCCGACGCAAAGGCAAAGTGGGCGCCCTTACTTGACCTGGTGCGGGAGACCGAGGCGCACCTGTATCCTTTGGAGGAATCGTTCCTGGAGGCGAATCCACCGATGGAAGAGTTGATAAGTGAAGCTGTATGGGAGGATATTGTGATAGTTTGACGAGACGGCCTTTCTTTCGTCCTCTCACAACGGGTAAGATGAGAACCCTTCGTTCATGGAAGGATGGAGGAGAGATCGTATAGATGACATCAAGGCAAAGGAGACCTCTTTGCCTAACGTGGCACATCAGACTGAAAGCTACAAGTCTCCAGGGATTGGGTACAGGCTGCTTCAACAGTGTGGAGATATTGTAGAGGCCCTTGCTTGATCTTGTATGTGAGACCGAGCGTATCGAAAGAAATGTCGCAATTACCTTGTCGGCAGTTCACGTCAACAAAGCCCAAATATCGTGTGCAACATTATGGACAGGACTTTTAGCAGCAGACTGGTGTTGTCCAGAGACATGCATGATGGCTCATAACCACTCATCGACCGAATGAGATGCGCGAGGCACTCGCATCTACTTCTGCTGACGAGTGTAGAGATGCTCTGATGATCATCTGCGAAACGATGTAGTCATGTCTGGTATCACACCTCATGCAGGAAGCCTAACAAACATGCTAGCCTGCTTGTCTCCGCCGAAGCTGCATAGATTAATGCAAGAAGTGTCATTCGAGGCGCCTGGTTTACTGAATGTGTCTCATTCTGTCGGTAGGTCGGTCAAGTTGCCTGCGCCCGGCGCAATGGCTGACAACGGCTGAGACAACTAGCCGAGAGCAGGGAATCAAAGGCTGCCACATCTCTTGCGGCTGAATATGCCCAGTGATAGATAACATAGGCATGGCAATTGGTGAAGCTTTCTGACCACGGCCCTCATGTATACCGTCGTATACAGCTGACCCAACTCTGCTTTGCTGATTGAAAACAGATTTGGTGGCTGAATCCCCAACCCGTCTGGAGCGCAGCACACATCCGATGGTTTTCTTGCACCGAGACTTCGAATCTGCCTTGTCTTCAACCTAATCCGTGGGTGAAGCCTTGCGCACACCGACCTGAAATCTATTGTTGGCGCAGTCCCTGCGCCACCGTCTAGATATGCATAGTCTCTCAAGCCAATGAGACTTGCAGATGTCGGGTTCCAAAATTCATAGCAAATTTGGACTGTCAGTCAGGCTGCTAAATACTCCATACCCCGCTGTTGATGTACTACTTGATTCGATGCCTTACTTGCTCTTGCTCGGCCTTTTGGGAACGCTCACATCTTTTGCTACCTCTTTACGTTCTAGAATCACCACGCGGTATCGTCAGTACTTCGAACGAGAGCAAGCGATGTCCACATTCAATTGGCACGAGACATGCCGGAAACCCGACGTCGAGTTCAGTGCAGGCCTGGGTGTGCCGACATGTAGCAGCTGTGGATGCATCGCTACATCGGAAGGCCTTGCGGAGGCTCAACACCACCAAGCGCCATTGGTACCGGCTCCGACAACAAGATTTGAGCTAAGGTGGCCACTTTCATTACCTTTTGTAGACGATCCCTCAGTAGTCTCTAATCTACCGGAAAAAACGATAGCGGAATCGAAAGATGTACGCGGAAATGTCACGCCACTTGTTGGTCAGCCCACCACAAGTAACCACGAGCCTGCGACGAACTCTTCTATCTTGGTTGAGGCGCCATATGAGCCTTTATTTGCACGGAAAATCCGACTTCTGAAGTTACTCAAAGGCAATTACAACGACCCAGTCAGAGTCGAGCTTCAAGTCGCAGATTTGACCATCAAACCGGAGTACGAAGCTCTATCATATACATGGGCAGATGAAAAGAATGACTCTTCAAGGTGCGAGAAGGTTTACGTTGGGGAGCGATGGGATATCCTGCTGGTTACCAAAAACTGCCTCAATGCTCTTCGCCGTTTACGATATTCCTACCGCAGTAGACGACTTTGGGTCGACGCCATTTGCATAAACCAGAACGATGTGGGCGAAAGGTCCCATCAAGTTGGCATTATGCAAAACATTTACGCAACTGCTTCTAGGGTTTTGATCTACTTAGGGGAAGACGAAGAAGACCTGAACTCCACCAGCTCATCCCCGTGGAATTTCGATAAATGGAACACATATTACAAGAGATCGTTGCCTGCGCACAAAGATCTCACGCAACAGCAATACTTTAAGAGAGTATGGGTGATCCAAGAGATAGCTGCAGCGCAAGATTGTTGGGTTCTATTTGGGACACGCGGCGACCGATGGCAAGACTTTCTCCAGCGAAGGGACGTCAAATACTGCGATCGAAATATTAACTGGCTTCAAATGCTCCCGAAGGGGAACTTGATGGATTCGGAAGAACTCCCAAGTCTACTGCACGCCACAGCCTTATGTGAGGCTACAGACCCCCGGGACAAGCTTTTTGCCTTGTTTGGCCTCTTACAAGACGCGAAACAAGCTCAACTGGATGCAGACTACTCGCTCAGCAAGGAGCAAGTGTTTAGTGGTTTCACTGCTTATCTATTTTTTCAAAGTCCTGCTTTCATGTTGCCGATCTTTGCAGCACTGCAGCCAGAATTATCAGATTCCTACCCCTCGTGGGCTGTTGACTGGTCTTCGGGAACCGCCTTAAATCTCATGAGGCCACTTCTACCTAAGACAAATCTGACAGCCCGTCTTGAATGGGGATCAGGGAACTATTCGATCATGCCTCAAATCTACCGCGATGGTGCTTTGGTCGTCAAGGGTCGCCCGGTATCCCATCTCTCAAGCTGTTTCCTCGACCATCGATGCAACGATGGTCCTCCAGGAATCCTTGGCGAAGTATACCATAGACCCGGAACGACACAGGAAGCCTTGCCAGTCTGGGCCAAGTCAAAAGACAAACTTGTTCAAATCAAAGGACTTGATTCGTTTTTGCTGGTACTTCGACCAACATTGAAAGCTACCAAAGCTTATCGTCACGTTGCCATTGTAAGAGAGCCCAAGTTCCATAGCTCAACCGCGTATCTCGATTTGATCGATCGCAAAGCCATCCTGCTTTTCTCAACATGGCTACACCTGCTTGGAACAGAAAGCGATGGAAGGCTCTGGTCTCTTGACATGACTTGGGGCACGGTTAAGGCTGTTTGCCATAATATAAAGAATCATTGGAAATTGGAAGAGTTCAAAGGGCGATTTTTAGAGTCCTTCACGATGTCGGAACATAAAGAGCAGCCAACTCACGACCAAGAGATTCAAGCAGCCGTGCGTAAGCTCAGAGAGGAATCCAAGCAGTGCTATGTTCCGGAATGGGAAGCTTCAGTAGCGTTTTCTGACCATCTGGAGGAGCTTGAGGAACTGATGAGGAGCCTCTCAAAAACGAAGGATATAGGCGAGGTGGACATCGGAGACTCTGGCCCACTGCACTTTCTCGGGCAATGTCTCCGGACCACGACAAAGACCTATATGGAACACCCAAAGGTTCGGAAGACATTGGAGCAGTTTTTAAAGAAAAGAGAAGTGCCAGGCTTGAGAACAATTGCGCGATTTGCTTGGGAAAGAGCGCAATGGAGAGAGAGGGCTCCGTGGCAACAGCTTTCCAAAGTTGCATTCGCAAGCGCCATGAAATTGTTCTGGGAGGACCTTGAGCGCTCTAAAGGCTCCGACAACAAAGACTCCGACAACTTGAGTGAGGAGTTTGGTGTGATCTTCGGCAGCATGAAGAAAAAGCGCCGTTCGGTGTTCGACAGCCTGAGTGACGACATGACGGAAAAGGCCGATACGATCTCCGTCAACATAAAAGAACGGGACGCTACGATCGTCCCAGCAAAGTTTACCGAAATTATATTAAGCCAAAATTTCGATGAGATAATCGGTTCGACTAGCGACTCGGAATCAGCCATCGGCAGAAAGTTCAGGCATTTGCGCCGTGCCAATAGAGTGCCATGGCTGCAAGACTCGGAAAGACATATGAGAACAACATCCATGGATTTATCAGGCCGCGATGCCTTTGTTCTTGAAACTAAGTCTCCTCAAATTCCAGGCACCGACTTCCTTGAAGAACCTGATTACCCCCAAGAGACCGACTTCTTTCAAGAAACCGACCTACTTGAAGACAACGACCCACTTAAAGATAACGACTTCCTTGAAGACCATGGCTTTCTCCAAGAACCCAACGTCCTCGTAAAAGCCTGGACAGCCAAATTCATCCAAACGTGCCATGCGTGGTCCCTTGAGGCGGACGACTGGCCTGGCCGCTCTCGTGCTAGCGAAGATGTAGACCTTTTCCGAAGCGAGACCGAGGGATGTCAGGAGGAGCAAGTGGGCTATCTGGCTGCTGCGAAATCAGCTTGGGCACCACTGCTTGACCTCGTGCGGGAGACAGAGACACATATGCTTCCTTTGGAGAGGGGATTTGTCGGCGTGCGTACCACTGTTAACGAAGAAATGGCAGGTGTTCCCTGGGAGGATATTCGAATAGTTTGACTGGGTAAAAGCTTCGTGCGACGATTGGTAGAGGGGATAGACATATACAGGACAGAAGAAACCCCGAGATTCCTCTGACTGTTTGCAAGATTTCGTCAGGTTCGAAGGCCCTTCAATGATGTAGCTTCCGTTTCGATTCCGTTGAGACTAGTAACATGGGAACATAACCAAGGTCCATTAGGTATTACTCTCATATCTCATATACATCTCAACCCAGCACAATAATCATATATACAAGAACATATACTCCTCTCCCCGACAAAAACTACACCTAGCATCCACAAACATTAAACAGCGCAACAGAAGGATCATGATCGCTAACAAGATCATCATACAGCTCCCACGAGTTGACGTGGATGTGCTCGTACGCGGTGCCGTTCTTGTTCGCCAGCGCGGGGCTGACAAACATGTGGTCCAGCTCCTGCGCGTTCATGTCGTAGACGTAGGTGTAGCGCTCCTCGACGGGGACGCCGACGGCCTCGTCGAGGTCAACGAGGCCCGAGGTGGAGGCGAAGACTTTCAGGGGCTCGACGAAGGCGAATTCGTTGAAGTCGCCGGCGGTGATGATGCGGGCGTTTGCGTCGAGGGCGAGGATCTCGGCGATGAAGGACTATTTCTTAGTTAGCTTAGGTTTCTCTTTGCAGATTAGATGGGGGAACGTACGCCGGTGATCTTGGCCTGCTCGATACGCGGGTTCACAACACCGTTGACGGGAGGACGGGGGTCGCCGTGCAGAGACGAGGAACCGCCCTTGGACGCAAAGTGCACGTTGACAGTGAAGAAGGTCTTGTTGACGGGCCCGTTGACGGCGCGCCACTGCGCGACGAGGGGCTTGCGGCTGGCGTCCCACGCCGTGTTGGTGGGGTCGATGCGGCCCGGGTTGTACTTGAGCGCGGGGCCCTCGAGGACCTCGTTGGAGTCGAGGGCGCCGCCCGGGTTAGGCTTGTAGAGCTCGACGACGTCGGGCTTGTAGAGGTACGCGACGCGGATGTTGCCGCCCGGCTGGCCGCCGTCCTTGCCGTCGACGGGGTCGATGACGACCCAGTCGTACGCGACGCCGGACTTGGTCTCGATGGCGGCCGTCAAGGTGGAGAGGGTGAGGTTGGAGGAGACGACGCCGTTGTTGGTGGCGCCGTTGTCGTCTTGGATCTCTTGGACAAAGACGAGGTCGGGGGTCTTGAGGTAGTCCACGATGTGGGCGGCGACGGAGGGGAGGTGAGCGACGGTCGGGGAGAGGTTCTCGACGTTGTAGTCGCCGACGGTGATGCCTCTGCAGTCGCCGCGGCTGACGAGGGTGGTGGCGGGCGCGTTGTTGGTGGCGTTTTTTGCGATTGTGATGCCGGTCAGGGGGAGGATGCGGTAGAAGCCAAAGGCGTTTGTGACGATGCCGGTGATCTCGGTGAGCTCGTCGCCCATCTTGGACTCGGGGTTCTTTGTGCCGTCGAGGGGAGAGCCGATGATGATGGCCTCGGGGTTGGAGTCTTTTTGCCGTGTTAGTGGCTTGCATGATTCAGAGAAGAGAGATGGACTATACCCTTGTCAGACATGGTGAGGCCGCCGTGCGCATTGCGGCCGGTGACGGGCCAGTCGCCAATGACCCAGGTGTCGCCGTACTGGTTGGGGCGAGAGATGCCGACGGGGCTCTTGATGGTGACGAGCTCGCCGCTCAGCGACTCCCAAAAGTCGAGGCCGTAGAGGGCCGGGTTGAGGACCGGGTTCTCGGTGGAGATGTTGGCGACGGCGTTGGGGACGGCATAGACGTCACCGCCATCGAGGCCGCTGTACTGCTCCGTCGGCGGGGGCAGGGTGTCGACGCCGATGACGAGCGGGGTGACCGCGTTACCCTTTGAAACGACGACGACGTTCTTGGGGGAGCTGAGCTCTGTGAGGTAGATGTAGTTCGTGGCGGACCTGTTCCCTTTGTATTAGAGGAACTCTGCGTGTAACTTGGGAGTACAAGACTGTCTTACCTGTACTCCTGGATCTTTCCATCCAAAGTGATGAGGTCGCCCACGGTCAAGTTCGCGCCAACGGTGCTGCCGTAGACGTACAGAGCCTCGGAGGTGGCAGCATCGTCGTCGGGCGTCGTCGAGCGGATCCAGATTCCGGCGGGTCCCTTTGCGAGAACGAGACCAGTGACGTTGGTCACGGACTGGTCCTTGTACGGAGAGAGGAACTTGTTGCCGTTGATCTCGGCAATGGTCAAGGCCGAAGCGGCGCCGGCGGCGGAGAGGAAGAGGGAGGTGACCTTCATCTTGACAGTGTACACCGCGTCAAAGCGAGAATAGATGTCACGAAGCTCTTTTCTCTATCTGGGATCACAGCGTCCTGAGCACACGAGAGCAAGAGAGGGATCGTCCATGTTTACTCCCGTCGCGGGGCAAGTCACCACTATATGTAGGATGGAGCTGAACCTCTTCAGCCCATGATTGCGGTCCCGTTTCCCCTGGTCAGGGTCGTATCGAGCCGAGAGAGTTGCAAAGTGCCAAGAAAGCTGCACCATATCGCTTCGCTGGGTCCCCCGGGATCCAGCGATCCATTCCGCCCTTGCATCGCGGGAGCTGCCTGCTTTGCATGTGAGCAACCCGCGTCGGATGCGCTCCAAGAGTCCATGTACGCGATAAGATTGGGCAATGAGAGAGAGGAGGGCGCGGCCAGCTCCGATATTACGCACTCGATATCTCTCGACTTGTCGCCTGTAAGGCCAGCTGGACGTCCTCACTGGAGGGAAACGGCAAGACAATGATTCTCTCCCGTCGAGCGGAGAGCGGAGAGCAGGGGTCCTGTCGTATCAATTGACCTCTTAGAGCGATGCGTGCCTGGCACGTTCTTGTCAGGTTGTCATAAGAAACCTGGGCTAACGGCACCGGCAGAGACATTAGATGAGCCCCGCATTAGCCTTGATTGAGTTCAACCCCCCCATCGCGGCGCTGTATTGGTTGGCCATGGCTCAATCGGGAAGGTGAAGGCTTCCTGCGAGGGCGGGAGAGTGGCCTAGCTGGTGTCTAGTTCAGTGGGGAACAACCCGGCCTAAGCATATCGAAAAAGGTTGATTTGAGCAACGGGTGTGTGGGGGAAAGGCGAGCGGCGGGAACGTTGGAAAGCAACTTTGCTTCTGACCCTGGGTCATATCTGTACGGTATATCCATATGAGTGCAGAGATAGTGAGTGTGAGAGAGACTGGATTCACAATCAGCGTGTCATTTCCAACACTACAACCGTGATAGGAGTAGCAAACCAAGGTGATCCGAAGAGCCGAATGAACCGCAAGACAAGCCGGGCCAACTCCCTTCCTAGGATAAGTCTGCTCTCAAGGCCAAGGCCTGGGTGGACGCGTGGTGTCTTGCTGTTGTTGGTCGAGAGCCGTTGCTGGCAAGGTGGAGGAGGAGCCTAAGAGGAGGGAGCAAAAGTCAATTACCTACTCTAAAAAGATGGACAGGGGCGTCGTTGAGGGGCCGCTAATCTGCGCCTTATCGCCTGCCAATCATCTGCCTCACGTGTCGATGACCGACCGCCGGCCCCGGAGCTCCAACCCCGGTCGTCCCTGGATGTGCCCCTGTCTATCACCGCTACCAAGATTCTAAGCTTGACTCGACTCCGCTGGGCCCCTTCAGCTCCCTCCCTCACCTGTCCTCACAGTCACACATTCTTTGCGTAGCATCATGAACTCGCACTCATGAACATACAGTCAACAGTCTATGATGCACCACACTATCATAATACACATTTGAAGAATCTTTGGTCAATTCTCACTATCGTGGTATCACAACTAATCTTTTTCAAAGATGACATCTGGCCTAAAACTGCGGTGCACACCTTCACTCAATTTCCTACAAATGAAAACTGTCCCAGAACATTACAAAGAGTTGTACAAATCCCAAGGACCTCTTGTCCATTGAGTGAAGTTTCCCGTAGATGCCTCAGAAAACCCTTGGCGACGACAGGAACAGCTGCCTACTGATATCTCGAGCGAGATCAGGCTAGCAAAATGTATGCACCAACAAAAAATTCATTTCTTTTCCGTCCTCGAGACATACACACTCGGAAACAGCTCTACCAGCGTAGCTGCCTTGCTTCAGACTTGCCACCGGTCGAGCCCATCAAAGACCGCTCCGGTGATCGCTGGGAACTCCCGGAACCGTCCCAGGCTCCGACTCGGCTTGTTGCCCTGGGGCCCCGGCATCTGGAGCCGCTCAACACTCGCGCGTCCACTCCCGCTTACTCCAGATCGGCCTCCTCCTCGTCGCGCTGGACAAGCTCGTGGTCGTCACGCTCAGCCAGGTCATGCTCTTCGCGCTGTTCCAGGTCGGCTGACTCCTCGTCACGTCCAAGAAGACCGCTGAGAAGAGCAAGAGGGTCGGCCTGGGCCTTGTTGGCACCACCAGCGGCAGCGTTTCCACCTGCAGCGCCTCCTCCAATCTGCAAATGAATGTTAGCTGATGTTCAATGGCATGCGTCTGTCTCTGGGGCCACTTACGCTCTCGAGGATGGAAGAGAGGATGTTGTTGCCGTCAGCTGCCTGGTTGTTCTTCGCAGCGGCGCCTCCAGCAGCGTTGTTCTTCTTGCCGTTCTTGCCGTTCTTCTTCTTGCCACCAGCGTTCGCGGTTCCGTTGTTCGCAGCACCACCAGCAGCGGCACCACCGGCGGCACCACCAGCAGCCGCGCCGCCAGCTGCGTTGTCGGCTCCGTTGTTCTTCTTAGCAGCGGCGTTACCCTTTGCAGCCTTGGCCTTCTTTCCGCCAGCCGCAGCGCCGTCGGCGGCGTTGGCAGTTCCGTTGTTGGCAGCGCCACCGTTGTTCTTCTTAGCCTTGTTCTTCTTGGCGCCGGCAGCACCGGCGGCAGCGTTGTTCTTCTTGCCCGCGGCCTTGGCCTGTGCATTCTTCTTGCCCTTCTTGCCCTTCTTCTTGCCTCCGGCGTTGGCAGTTCCGTTGTTGGCGGCACCGCCGGCTGTGGCTCCTCCGGCAGTGGCACCACCGGCAGCGGCACCGGCTCCTCCGGCTGCAGCGGCGTCCTTGGCGGCCTTCTTGGTGGCGACTCCGTTCTCGCCTGCGTTCTCGCCCTCCTGCTGGACGTCGGCGTTGTCACCGGCTGGCGTTGAAAGTTAGTTGAATTTCGGACGTTGATGTGTGAGTCTCCTTGACATACCTTGCTCGCCCTTGGCGCGGCGCAGAACGGGCCTGACATCAACTTGAGCCGGGAAGTTCAGGTCTCGGACGGGCAGAGCCACGGATCGGTCCTCCTGGGTAGGGAGGGCGATGACCTGGGCGGCGATGGCCGCAATGGAAAGGAGGATAGAGCTCTTCATTTTGAAGGAGTGCTAAATGTCTCTAGTCAAAGAGATGAAGAAAAAAGTTGATGGTATAATTTACAACTGAAAAGGGTTCACAGAACCTGGAGAGAATGGAATGTGAGAATGGAAGAAATGAGAAAGGCACTCAAGGAAAGACTGGACCAGCCAAAGAGAAGGAACTGAACCAGAAATGTTGTTGTGTTGAAGACTTGAAAGTGTCGAGAGAAGAGAAACCGAAATCAAGGCCAGATCGGGCTGGGTTGATATAGAGTATAAGCTTCCTGGGAATCTCACTCGGATCCAGATCCCTCGGAATATCATGCCGCAGGTAGAGCAGGCACAGATTGCACCCATGAGGTCACAGTGCCAAGGAATTGAGACGTCTTGTCAAACAAATGAGGTGAACGCTATCTTTGCCCAATGTCACCATGTCAGCCATGTCACAGACTGTGATCCATCGCGAGGGCAGTGCAGTCTGGTGGAGCAGGGGAGTCGGGTCCTCAGTTTGAGAAAGAGACGTTATGGCGAATGGGAAGAGGTGTGTGCCAAGCATCACGACGGTGCCATGTCGCGCCAAACCCCGGAGCAGCCGTGAGCCGGGGAAAGCGGAGACGAGGTCCCAAAATAAAAAGAGAGCAGAAAAGGTGTCTGTAGCCGATTGATGATGGGCATCGCTACCATGCGTTTGCGGTTGAGGGTGCCAGTGGTGGCCATGGAGGGCGACTGTTGATCAGACGGTTGGTGATTCAGAACGGCCCCGCCGCGGCGGATTCTTGTATGTACTTCTCCAGAACTGAGGCTTGCGGAGGTGGAACGGGTTTCCAACGGTGGTGGCTGCTTGACGGTGGCCAGACCTGGTAATAGGCTGCATCCAGCCATCATCCCGTACTGTGCACACACAGAACGTGGGAACTAGTGTCCGTCCTGTCCTGGTTGGCATGTGTTGTTAATGCTTGTGCGGTGGTGGCATTCCCAAGGTCGCGTACCTTGCGGTTAGTGGAACAGCCATGGGGGTTGAAGGGTTTGATCGGAGGACAGGTTGTCAAACCTGGGATGAAACACCGCCCAAAAGGGCGCTTGGCCAAAATCGCGAACGCCTCTCGCTTCCCAACAACAGTCTTCCTTCCCCCTCTGCGCGACTGTCTCCATCCCAATACACTGGTGACGAGTGGGATGCCGCCCATTTGAAGAGTGAGGTGCCGGGATGGCGTTTGAAGGATGAGCATGCGCGAAGCGATGAAGTCTAAATTTCAGAAGTGCAACGATGCACCCTGGGTCGTTTCTTGACAAGCAGGGGAGTCTCTCGTGAATCAGAACCGGCCCCCTAGGCGTTGCAGAAGCAAAAAGTGGCCTGAATGGCAGGGTTTGCACAGAATTGTTGGATCTCTGCTAGGGCACCGGTTACGATGGCCGTAATAGTACACTGCCAGTACGAAGTAGCGTATAGCAACTAAGACACGCTCCGAGTCCCCACGAGCTTGATTTGTGAGCCGCAATCAAGCGTTGAAGGGTTGAAGCTTGGCCCTGGTCGATACCGTTACATCGCTCTTCTTCTTCCGTCATTCGCCGCACTACTGTTCCTGAAGGCTGTCTGATTTGCAGTGTCTGCTTAGGCCTTTAGAAATTGGGGGATCTCGACTGGAGAGATGCTTGTTTGGAAGCGGTGCCGCGGGTTGCGGTTGCTGCGCCATTCCGTCCCATTCCATGCCGTCCGTTCCCATCCCTTCATAGTTCACACAATAAATGCCGAGGGCTAGAACACAAGGCAACGTTGGGAGTCTCCGCACCCTGGTTGACATGGCTCGAGGGTTGAGGGATCGAAGTCGAGAGAAGGGACGGTGTTTCAACTGGTGCATCGAATTGCCAAGGACTTCTGTCTCGAGGAGATTGACAAAGTCGGGCGATGATCGTCGCGCAACACTGGCCAAGACCACAGCAGCATGGCGTTCTTGTTGAGGCGGGAATAACAGACCAGTAGTAAGAAATACCAAGAGAGACGCTCGGTGTTGGCGATGCTTCCGGCCTTGGTTGCGAGTATCAGAAATCTCTTGGTTTCTTTTAGTTTTTCCAGGCCTGGCTTAGAGTTAGTAGTCTTGAAGCCTTGGGACTCTTGGCTTGGGTCAGAGTCAGAGTCAGACCTCAGGCGACTTTTGGAGTCTGGAGATCACCGGGGCGGCTCCAGTATTCCAGAATTACAGTAGAGGCCAAGCATTTTGGCGAGGGGAATCAGGGGATGAACGGATGTGCTGCGATCCTGTTTGGGAAATCATGGAGAAAGGAGGCGGGAGAGCAGAGCAGTGATCGGCGAGCGAGGAAAATCAGACACAGGAGAGAGGAGCTTGGTCAATGATGCTGGTGCATTGCTTTCCCCACGAGAATTGAAGAGGAGACGGACGGTTCGCATCACTTTGACTGAAGGGGGGTCCCTCCTTCCCAATTTCTCTTCCATGACCCGTCTTTTCCATTGGGTCCCAGGTTGTCTTCCAGCCCTCCAGGTTCCCAGTAATTATTCGCCCCAAGTTCCCAACATGGCAGCAGTAGTCTGTGAGTCCCGTCGTGACTGCCCTGTCATGCGATGTGGTCGACACAGACTCGACCCGAGCAGAAGGAAGGCCCCATTGGACTCCCGTCTTGGCAAGACCCATCGCAATCACGTGGCTGTCCTCCTCGCACTTGCTCTTTCTCTTCTTCTGTCTCTTACTTCCTTCCATCATTGTGCTACCTCTCTACGTACCTTACTTAGGTGGTAAGGTACATCGTAGGTAGACGTGCCTTCCTTGTGCATCAACAGAGGCTGAAGCACAGTCCAAATCACGTGGGAGGTGACGAATCCCCATTTCAGATGTGGTTGGGTTTTCCCTTCCACTGCGGCTCTTCAGCACGTGGGACACCGCATGGCTGGTACCATAAGGTTCTTTGCTATCCCAAACTTGGAATTTCAAATGACTCTATCCTCTGCACACGCCTCTTTTGCTTCGAATCGTACAGTTCTGTATTTAGCAAAGATGAACACAACCGACTTCAGACGACGTGATGGTGGTGGTCAGATGTCGTTATCGCTCCCGGATGAGTCAATTACCTACAGCCGTCTTCCACTGAGGCTGCCCAAAGGCCCCAATGGCACAGTAGGCAGCTTTTCAACTTTTTGCACGCCTTGCCTTACATGACACCCGCCACATACATCAATCATCTCAAGTCTGGAGAAAGTCATCTCATCAACATGAACCTCTAACTTGGACGGTTCCACGGTCAGACTGGATGCATCCATCGGCCCCCGACTCCAGGTTTCCAGTCTTTTTCTGTCAGTGCTGATGCATTCATTCATCTCAGACGGTCACACCTGACCTGCAGGCTACGGAGTGCCTGGTCAGACCAATACGCCGTATTGTGTCGATGCACGGGGCCCGAGTCGTCCGATGCAACTTCCTTGACTAGCACCAAAATCCTGCCTGACTGCTCGGCGATGCTGCTTCGAGCCGATCGGTTTTCGTCCCTTTCTTACATCGGACATGCAATCCTCCATCGTGGTTGACGTCGACTGTCATCTGGTCCATCAGTCCAAGATGAGACCGGTTCCGCTTTGGGCAATTCACGGGGTGGCTGTGTCTAGCTGCCGTTGTGCCGCACCCCGAGACAGGCACACCTTGACTTGATTGGCAACTCCACGTCAACACCACCACAATTGGCCCCTCTGCCTAAGGCTCTTACCGTCTTATCTCAAGTCTGGGAATTTACGGAGGATTGCGGCGTGTGATGCGATGACTGCAGGCCCGTCGCTTCCATTCTGTTCTGTCCCTTTCCCAGTCAATCTCATACTATTTCCATTCATTTCCTTTTCTCTTGACGTGCAATAAGTTTGGGCGTACTGCAACTCTGTTTTGGAATTGTTCTCTTCAGTTTGGCACCTCGTTTTGACGCTATTGCTAGTAAACGAAGTCACAAAGCGTTACATTCGGCTCATGTTTTGTTTGAAATCCCTCTTTGATTAAAATTGCCTCACTCCCTTGGTCTTGAAACACCATCAGCAACACGAGAGTCCCCGGTGCCCGCTAGCACCATGTGGGTCCCGCAGCCGGCTTGTTCTCCCGGCCTTGACAACTCTCTCGGTCCGTGGGCCGGAGAATTGTGCCGGGGCGGATTCGACTTTACACTTTTCTTCGAGGAGGCCATACTAGCAGTTCCCCTGCAATCTCTCCTCCTGCTGTTGCTCCCCACCTGTGCCTTACGCCTGGCAAGGTCCGATGTCAAAGTCGTGCCCAGCACCCTGCGATGGTTCAAAGCTGTTAGTCCTGGCAAAACTGCCGCCTACCACAATGGCTAATCTCGAAAGTCTGCATCCATTTCTCTGGCCGCTCTAAACTTCGCTCTTCTGGTCCTCTGGATCACTACACCATCAACAACCATCACCCATACGCGCGCGACCATTCCCACGGCCATCCTCAGTCTAATTGCCTCGATAGGATTGGGTCTGTTATCATGGCTCGCTCATCAACGGTCCGTAAGGCCGTCATTTGTCCTGTCAGTCTACTTGTTTCTGTCAATTCTGTTTGACACTGCTCGTACCCGAACTTTGTGGATGCTGGGTTCCCATCAGACCATACCCGCCATCTTCACCTGTACTCTAGCTGTCAGAGCTGTCATGATCCTTTTAGAATCAACAGAGAAGCGCAGGATCCTAGTTCCAGAACACAAAGGATACTCCAAGGAGGTCACCAGCGGCACTTTCAGCAGATCAGTCTTCTTCTGGTTGACGTCACTCTTCATCAACGGATACAGAAACATCCTTCAACTAGATGACCTCTATCCACTGGACCCGAAGCTAGCCTCAGAGCCGCTCTATAGAAAACTCGCCGACGCGTGGGACCAAGGTAATCTATTTTCGGCCCCCAAACTAAAACACTAGATGTTCCGCGGACTAATATATCTGATTTCTACGCAAAAAAAGTCCCCGACAAGACGGTTCCCGGCGCTTTGTTCAGCACCTGGCTCCGCGCCTTTGCCGGCCCTCTTTCCGCGGCCATCGTCCCGAAACTCTTCCAGATCGCCTTCAACTACGCCCAGCCGTTTCTGATTGACGAGGCAATTCGCCTTGCCAGTCAGCCGCAACAGCAGCCCTACAATAACCACGGTTTTGGTTTGATAGGGGCGTACGTGATCGTGTATACCGGTATTGCGGTGGGTTTTATGTTTCCACCGCCGTCGCTCTCGGTCAAGAGAGCGTTCTAGAACTACTCAACGTGCGGGACACTGAGATTTCTCGTTGTAGGTTTCAACGGGCCAGTATGACTGGCGCAATCAACGTGCGGCCTCCATGACGAGGGGCAGTACGACGGCACTTGTCTATCGGAAAGCGTTGAGGCTGGATTTGACGTCGCCCAACGTCAGCCCTTCGG